TAAAAAACTAATTCTTGTAAACAATTAAATTTTGTAGCAGGACAACAGGCATAAACCAGGGAAATCCTGGGCCAGCCAGAAAATGCGATACCCTAGTCACACTGCATGTGGTCTGCTACACATCGTCTTCCTGACTCAGTGCTCTTCCTGAGATTCGTCCATAATTTGGAAATAGCGACATTTTAATGCATTTCAATCAAGGCATTTTGATGTAACTTTTTTTCCAAATGTATTTGTTCTCATAGTGGTTGCTGTGTAAACCTGAATTTACCTGCTTATCATGTTTTTAAAGCTATGAATACTCTATAATCCAGAATTCCTTCAGCAGTTTTTGGTATTGAAGTGGATTTTCCTTTTTTGTTTGTTTTAGAGTTTTGGGGTTTTTTTGTTTTTGTCTTTTGGGGTTTTTTGTTTTTGCTACAGGGCATGTGTACTTGCCAGAGAGACAGAAAGTGAGAAATCACCCCCTAGCTAGGATAGCCACACCACAATCCCTTCTCCTCCATTCGCCTCTCAGAAGTTTGGACATGCACACGCATGCACCAGTGTGATTTTTAAGCCAGGACTCAAACCATGGTTGATCATGTGGGAGTCCATTGCCTCAACCACTACACCACCCACTGCCCCTGTGTTTGTTTGTTTTGAAGTTTATTTATTTCTCCCCTGAGCGAGCGAGACTGGGAAGAAGGGGAATCCCCCCAACAGGTTCTTACTATTACAGTCCACCCTGGCCTTTGGCCAGCCACAGATCACAGGCACGCACATGGGGCCCAGCTCAGGGACGTCTCCTGACTCGAACCAGTATATTTAGTACTTTAATATCATTTTTCTCTATTAGTTTTTAGACTTTGTTATTTAAAGACCTTGAGAAATACAAAGAAATGCACAAAGAAATCTATTTCTTAAAAAAAAAGAAGAAACGAGTGCAAGAAAAATGTGCACTCATTCTAAATGGAGTAAAAAGGAATTTTGTTTTTTTTTTCTTTTTCCCCCCTTATTCATTATTTTAAAAAGACTTTTCTTAATAAAAGACTTTTAAAAAGACTTTTTAAAATGAAAATATTACAGTTTTTCATTTTAAACCCCTGACAGGGTAGTTTTCAAAGTGAAGATTTACTTATATTTATGTCTGTGTTTGTCCCGGATAGAGTCTCTAAATTTCCCTTTTCATTATTTGGATTTGACAGAATACAAAATAGGTAACCCAACAAACGAGCTCCCTCGGGCACATGGTCCTGGGTGACCAGGCAGTAACGTACATACCTTGTATTGTGGAGCAGGTGGCTGTGCACATTGAGCTGGTCTCAAGGTCGGTGTTCAGCTGTTTTCATGCAGGGTGAGAGTCGGTCAGTGGATGGCGCATCAGCAGAAATGACCCCCATCCTTCCCATCTACTGCAGCCATGGCTCCAGAGGCAGGGAGTGTAGAGGGCTAGGAGTTTAATGTCATTTTTCTCTGTTACTATTTCATAGAAAGCTTTTAGCTTTCTTAGAACTATTGTTTAAAGCATATACATTTTTTTTCTTCTCAACTGTTTGAGGCTCTGTGCTTGTACATGCATGTGGAACAGAGAGAGAGAGAGAGAGCACCTCCCAATGGGTTGCGGTCACACCACAATCTTCTTTCTTCCCCTCTTCCTTCCTGTCAGGATTTTGACCACACACACACACACACACACACACACGTGTACCCACACTTTTCAAGCCTGCGGGCCAGGACTCATACTCTAGTTTGCCATGTGGAATGTGCGGGGCTGGCCCGAGAGCAGTTTGTCTTTTCAGCTTGTGTCTGAGGTCC